TTCTGCTAAATCAGCAGAGCGGCGCCTCCTGGAGGCCTACCCGGCTCCCCCAGTCCCCAAACCCAGTCCACACCGGAGGCCAAGAGGCTATGGTTGGTTTTCTTGGTTAGGGAACCAATAATGTTACAGAAAAAACGGAGAAGAACCAAGCAACGCTCTGAGAGTTTGGAGGTACACTTTATTCACCGCGGTGGGCTTAGAGAAAATGAATTCAAATTCTAAGCAGAGCTACAAGCAGAACTTCCCTTTTTATGAAAGAGCCAGCCCTATGTGCGCTTAGTGGTTATCTTGCTGGTGGCCTTGAAAACTACACAGTTCTATCCAATTAAAAAATGCACCTGGCATGGCATTGGGCGTATCTAGTCTCTGGCCTACAAGGTCAGACAGCTAAGTTTATCTTCCTCATTATATAAGCAGGCTAAAGCAGGCTAGAAAGCAAAGTTATATTTTAGAATAAGAGGCCGTCTAAAGAAGAGCAGAGAATTCCAGACAGTAGTTTTACAGAATAGGGGTTAGCCTTCTCACTCCCTTCACCCTTCTGGTAATCACAACTACATGGTGCATCTATGAGTTTGTTTTCTTGTATTGTTGTACTCTCTACCAGCAGGCCAAAGGACACTGAAGATAAAACAATATTTACCCCAAAGTTCAGAGAGGTAGTGCATGTTGGGAGATGAGTTTGCACTTAGTATTTACAAAATCTTTGGGTTATAAACTTTCAATTGCATTTACACAAAGCGCATCAGTGGATCTCTTCACAGTCCTGGCGATTTGTCTTTCTTGTTTGATTCTCCTTTTTCTATGGAACCGAAGCTATGCCCAAGGAAAGCTGCCACCTGGCCCCACCCCTCTGTAGTCATTGGAAATATTCTGCAGATAAATATGAAAAACTTCAATGAATCCTTAAGAAAGATTAAGTATGATTAATTTTCTTCCAGTTGTTTGCAATGAGTAAATAAGACATTCCTATAACTAAGCAAAATATGCTCCCAGACATCATATGTTAAAGAAGTGGTTTTAAAGGGAAATGTCCTTTGGACACCCAGATACAATTTTATTTTTAAAATTTAATTAAATTTACTGGGGTAACATTGATTAATAACATCTTACAGTTTCAGGTTTTCATATCTATTAATATATCATCTATATATTGCATTGTGTGCTCATCATCCCAAGTCTAGTCTCCTTCCTTCCCCGTATAGCTCACCCTTTTGTCCTCTTTCTCCTCCCCTCAGCCCTCCTTCCCTTTTGGTAACCACCATACTGTTTGTGTGTGTGAGCTGGTTTGCTTATTTGTTTGTTGCTTTCCGCTTTATATTCCACATATGAGTGAAATCGTATAGTCCTTGTCCTTTTCTGCCAGACATGATTTTACGTGGGGTGCAGCTAGATGGTGGCCAGAAGGGTGTGAGATCCATGAGGTGATTGTTGAAATTGCCAAAAGGAGGAATTTCCTGCTCATATTGCGACCTAGGTCCTCTTTGTAGTAATTATTCTAGTGGCAATGAAACTACCTTTAATTTTTAAAAACTCTACTGATTTACAGAGTCACAACACTAACATTTTTCTAAAAGCACACACTGAGGTGAAGTTAAGGAACTAATTAAAGGTTCAGGAACTTCCTCTGTTTCTATTATGTTTGCTCAATGACTGAATGAATAACTGCTCAACTCTTAACTATTTATGCAGCTGTAGCTCTCTAAATCTTGAAGGGATCCGCTGAAATTGGTCTCCCCCGAGACAGCTGGTTACCAGGGCCCTGCCCCTGGCAGCTCCTTCCAGTGTTTTGGGCTGGATTCGAAGGGACTGTTTCGGCACCCAGCACATCCATTTGTTAACTTACAACCTTAGGCAAGTTTTAAAAATCTCTCTGAGCTTCAATTTCTGTTTCTTTAAAAGGTGAATAATAGCCGAAACCGGTTTGGTTCAGTGGATAGAGCGTCGGCCTGCAGATTGAAGGGTACCAGGTTCAGTTCCGGTCAAGGGCATGTACCTGGGTTGCGGGCACATCCCCAGTAGGAGATGTGCAGGAGGCAGCTGATCGATGTTTCTCTCTCATCGATGTTTCTAACTCTCTATCTCTCTCCCTTCCTCTTTGTAAAAAATCAATAAAATATATAAAAAAATAAAATAAAAAATAAAAGGTGAATAATAATTATTTTGCACAAGTTATTAGTCTAGCATGTATTCAGCAAGTTATTGAGTGCCTGCTTTGACTAGGCACTATGTTAGGTACTAGGGATTCCCTGCCACCCCAGTATTATTTCGTATTAGTTCCAGGTGTACAGCAGAATGATTTGACTGTCATACACTTACCAAAGTGTTCCCCCTGATGTTTCCACTACCCTCCTGGCACTACACATAGTTATTGTAATATTATTGACTTTGTCCCCTATGCTCTACTTTACATCCCTGTGACGATTTTGTAACTACCAATTTGTACTTCTTAATCCCTTCACCTCTTTCACCCAGTCTCCCAAACCCTCCCCCTCTAGCAACCGCCAGCCGGTCTCTGTGTCTATGAATCTGTTAAAATTTTGTTTGTTTATTTTGTTCTTTAGATTCCACATATAAGTGAATTCATATGGTATTTATCTTTCTCTGACTGACTCACCCTCTAGGTCCATCCATGCTGATGCAAACAGTAAAATTTCAGTCTTTTTTATGTGTCCTGGAGATTTTCAGTGGTGAATAAAAAAAAAAGACCCTAGCAATCCAGAGGGTAGGCATGTATTTATGATATAATAATGCAAATAAGTGTATGATTATAAACCATGTAGCATGGACTCAGTAGAAAGAGGCCATGTAGCTTGGAGGACTAGGGGAGGGAGGAGCAGTCAGCAAAGGATTCGCTGAGGAATTGAATTTGGAGCTGAGCTCTAAAGAAAGATTAGGCATTAACCAGACAAGAACCTGATAAAAGTTTGTCCCAGGCTTTTTCGATCTGGAGAAGACTTGCTTGTTAGAGTCTGAAAAAGGACCAGTTTAGTTGAGCCCAGAGAGTAAGTAAAAATATGGTGTGAGGTGAGATTGGAGAGGTCAGCAGGGACCTTGTGAGCATGCAGGTCTCACAAGAATTTCAAGACTATTGGTTTTTAGCCTGACCGGCATGGCTCAGTGGTTGAGCATCAACCTATGAACCAGGAGGTCATGGTTTGATTCCTGGTCAGGGCACATGCCCTGGTTTTAGGCTTGATCCCAAGTGGGGAGCATGCAGGAGGCAGCCTATCAGTGATTCTGTCTCATCATTGATGTTTCTATCTCTCTCTCCCTCTCCCTTCTTCTCTGAAATCAATAAAAATATATTTTAAAAAAGAATGTTGGTCCTCAGCACAAGAACAATGTGATACCATGAATGTGCTCACAGGACTGTCATGTCACCATTTGCCGTGTGAAAACATCACTCTGGAGAAGGAATTGCATATGGAGAATGAATTATAAGGTAGCAGGACTCAAACACTGGACTATTGGAAAGTCCTATATCATTTAATATACTGAATAAGCTGCCATAAGAGAAAGACCCCGATAATGCGATGGCTTAAAGAAGACAAGAGCTTATTTCTGTCTGTGATGTTGAAATGATTGCGGGTGGGCTGCCTCTCTTCTGTGCGGTCATTCAGAGAACCAGTTTTTCTCCATCTTGTTGACCATCCTGTGCCCCAAGGCTATTGTTTTCATTTTGGTGGTCACAGTGGGGCCATCTCCAAGGGGTCACAGTGGGGTCAACCCATGAGTAGGGGGAGAAACGGAGAGCATGGGTGACCATTTGTGCAACAGTGTAGGACGGACACACATCATTCCTACTAACATCAGTTCATGGCAGCCTAGTCACATGGCCACAAGAGGAGCTGGGAAAGGTCTGTAACGAGGCTGCCTTGTCTGGATGTAGTAATGAAACATAGAGGTCTCTGGTGCTAAAGAGAAGATGTAGAAAATGGATAAGGAGCAATGATTATTTGTCTACACCTGGGGCAACATGAAGAAGCTTCCCTTAAACAGGAGAAACATATCAGTTATAACTATAAGAAGGAAGGAAAAATTTGCAGCAATTAGAGGTTTGGCAGAAAAGAAGAAATAAAATAATATAAATAAAATTTATGACAGAGTCACATAGTAGAAGCTGAATAAAGGATGACTGTTGGTGGTGATAATATCAGCAATATTGCTAATAATCCTATCTAATAATAGACAAACATGGTAATTGACCGTACCTTTGTGGACATAGAGTTGTCCATAATATTTCTTTATGATCCTTTTAATGTCCATGGCATCAAAGCAATGGCCCTTCTTTTCACTTGGACAACACTAATTTGTATCTTCTCTCTTTTCAGGGGGTACTGGCTATATGGGTTTATCAATTCTACTGAACTTTCAAAAACAGATTTTTTATTTATTTTTGTCTATTGATTTCCTGTTTACAAGTTTTTTATTTCGGCTTTGATTTTTATTTTTAGGTTTCTGTGGCTTCCTTTGTATTTACTTCCTCGCTATTACTGATCCCGATCCCAGTGTTTCCCTACATGATGAAACTGCTCCTGAACACAATTTTTCTCTCTTTTAAATCCAAACCTCAAGTAACTCTAAGTGACACACAGCCAAGAGAGCTTTTCTGTGTGTGTCTCCTTTGTCCTTCTCTGTACTTATCCTTAGGAGGACCAGCATGCCTCTTTGTATTACTTTTTTTTTTTTTTATCCTCACCCAAGGATATTTTTCCATTAAGACCCTGGAAGAGAGAGGGGAAGACAGAGAGAAATACATCAATTGGTTGCCTCCTGCATGCACCTCGACCAGGGCCTGGGTCAGGGAGGAGCCTGCACCTGGAATCGAACCCAGGACCCTTCAGTCCGCAGGCCGACGCTCTATCCACTGAGCCAAACCGGCCAGGGCTACTTTCTTTCATTTTTTTACCTGCCTTATGCACAAAGGAAGGAAAGTCTGAGAATGGGCTCAGCAAATTATGCTTTTTATTGAGAACACGCAGAGGAGAATGGCTCTGTCCTGGCGCACAGTAATCAGCTAGCTCTGTTCATATTGGCTACACAGTACCACTCAGCATTATGTTAGCATACGTGTGGCGAGTGCAAATGTTTCAGAGTATGGAGAAGAGCAGATCCATTGCCCAGTGAGACTCAGGAAATGGTCCTTTCATGGAGGCTGCATAATCCTGGATCTTGAGAGAAGCGGGTGATGAGGAGAGGAGAGGTCAGAGAAGGGACCCCCAGGACGGGGATGGAGAGGGAAAGAGATGAACGATGCCCCAGATGAGCGGGAGTTGCTGACAGAAGGTCTGTCCTTCTTCACACAGGAATGAAGCAGAGCTGGTAAGGAGGCGGCACAGAAGCAAAGCCATTCATAACTGGGGTGACATCAAGGTCCTTTACATCGACCACAGCTTTCAAGGTAAACTTCTGTAAGATGGTGGTCAGGAATAAAAACAGCTCCATGCGGGCCAGGCCCTCCCCTGCACACATCCGTTTTCCTGAATATAACACACACAGAGAGTAGATAATCCTGGAACACTGACTTCCTGGATGCCAGAAAGAGAATGTGCAGTAATTATTTGATTAATGGTTGGTTGGATGGATGGATGGATGGATGGATGGATGGATGGATGGATGGAAGGCAAAAAGGTTGGATAAGCAGATGGACAAAGGGTGGACATATATCCTGTCCACCCAACATCTTATCCTAACAGGTATTCTTCTTTCAACAAATATTTACTGAGAATCAGCACTATAGCAAGTATTTCATTAAGTGTTCTCACTTTATAACATCTCTTTCAGGTTTCTATCAGTCTTTTTCTAGAAACACACATACATTGGTTGTACTTTCTGTTTGTAGCCTGATGTCTCATGATCATTCTTCACATTCTCATAGCCTTTGTTCCTGCTCTACGTATACCTACTTCTTCATCAATCTCCTACACACCCTGAAGTTTCCAGTTTTGTACCACACTGTTCTTTTTGCCTGGGATGCATGCACGTCTCTTGTATTTTCAGTACCAAGCTCAGATTTCATTTCTGAACTTGGAAGAACTGAGTCAACTCTCCAAAACCCCAGTGATCTGGCCTAATAACAAGGGTGGGCCATGAGGAGAGATAGTGTGTGGGCCTGGGGAGAGGTGCTTCTGGCCATGGACAAAGAGCAATTCTACCAGCCCCAGGGTGAGGGCTACGTAAGTTCCAACTGATTCCCAAAAAATATCCTGCCCCATGAAGTACCAACGAAAATAAATTTGTGGCCTAGTCGGTGTGCCTCAGTTGGTTGAGCATCATCCCATGCACCAAGAGGTTGCCGGTTTGATTCCTGGTCAGAGCACATGCCTGGGTTGCAGGTTCCACCCTCATTAGGGTGCGTGCAGGAGGCAGCCCACCGATATTTCTCTCCCATTGATGTTCCCATCTCTTCTTCCTTCCTCTCTCTCTTAAAAAAAAATCAATGAAAAAAATATATTTTATAAAAAGAGAAGAAAATAAATTTGTATTACCTGCTGAGAAAGCCATGAAGTAGTCACTCTTCTTGAAGTTGCCTCCCTCATCCAGGAAGTGGCCAGGATCAAACTTCTCTGGGTTGGGGAATTCTTTGTCATCTCGCAGCACAGAAGTCAGATTTGTTATAATAGTTGTGCCCTGGAAAAAACAGAAGGTAAAGTGAGTTATGAAGATGTGGTGTAGCCCTATCTGGTTTGGCTCAGTTAATAGAGCTTAGGCCTGTGGACTGAAAGATCCTGGGTTTGATTCAAGTCAAGGGCACATGCCTGGGTTGCAGGCTCAATCCCCAGTGGGGGGCGTGTAGAAGACAGCCAATCAATGATTCTCTCTCATCATTGATGTTTCTATCTCTCTCTCCCTTTCCCTTCCTCTCTGAAATACATATA